AGCCACAGGCGCTGAGCCGATTCAGCCTGTTCATAAAAGAGCCTGGAAACTTCCTTTCACATCAGTTAGCTTGAAATTATGCAAGAATTTTTTGTTGTTATTGAGAACACGAGCAAAAGAGCTCATAGATGATCACCTTGAGATCTGACACATTCTTATGTCCTCGCGTAACCATCACACATTCTCACAGGCACAATCGTGTGTGCACGGTCTCATGTCCACACATAACCATCACACACTTTCACAGGCACGTTTTTCTATTTTCAGTAGAGATGGTAGCTCAGGCTGGTCTCAAACTCCTGAGCCCAGGAGATCCACCAGCCTTGGCCTTCCAGAGTGCTGGGATTCCTGGCATGAGCCACCTCACCCAGTTGGTGGAGGTTTTTGGAGAGAAAATGTCCACTCAGCTTGGTTTGAACAGCTGTTTAATGTAATCATTTGACTCAGTCATATGAGAAAAATTCTTTTCTTCTTTTTCCTTTTTCTACATTTTCCTCCTTCCCTCTCTTCCTGCCAGTTCAAAAATAAGTCTAGCAGGCAACAAGGATGGAGTTCAGGATTCTGTAAGTGTATTTGTGAGCCTGCACAAGAACAAGGTTGAAGGGCGTTGCCTACTCAGGGAGGCCTGAAGAGGGGGTGCAGGTGCACTCGGGAACAGGGCTCGGGGTCTATTGGAGATGGGGACACTGGACACGGGGTAAAGAGAGCGTGTCCTGCGAGCCTGGGCCTTTTAGGATGGGTGTGGCAGGTGGCACGTGACCCCACGATTGCTTCCCTCCCCAGGTCCATGGGATGGACATCAGCAACGTCCCTCACAACTACGCAATGCGCCTCCTGCGCCAGCCCTGCCAGGTGCTGCGGCTGACCGTGCTGCGTGAGCAGAAGTTCCGAAACAGGAGCCATGGACAGGCACTGGACACCTATGGACCCCGGGATGACAGTTTCCATGTGATTCTCAACAAAAGTAGCCCTGAGGAGCAGCTCGGAATAAAACTGGTGCGAAGGGTGGATGAGCCTGGGGTGTTCATCTTCAACGTGTTAGATGGTGGTGTGGCCGACCGGCACGGTCAGCTGGAGGAGAACGATCGTGTGTTGGCCATCAATGGACATGACCTTCGCTATGGCAGCCCAGAGAGTGCGGCTCTTCTGATTCAGGTGGGTCACAGGTCATGCCAGGGTTCTAGTGAGAACCCCCCATGTGAACAGGCACACACACCACCTTGACCCCACCACCCTGTTACTACCACACGTAACATGCGATCCCTGCCTTTCAAGGAGTCAGGACTGAATGGCCAGCATTTTCAAAGCTTCTGCCCAGGTAAGAACATGAGTTAAGTAAATCTTGTGTCTCAAGATCACGGACATTGCTGTGGTGTTGTCTGACTGCAGACAAACATGTCGTGTTATCAACCTTGTGAAGTTAAGGTCACTCAGTGCCAGCAGGGTTGGGGCTTCCTGGATACTCAATTTCACCAGTGTTAACATCTTACCAAACTATGTCACAACCAGGCCACTCACATTGACAAAGTCAGATTATAGAATATTTCCCTCACCACAAAGATCCATTTCCTTCCCCCCCACCTTCTACTCAGCCCCTGGCAATCCACCAATCTAGTCTTTTCTGTATTGTTTAGTTTCAAGAATGTTATACAGCATCAATGTAATCATACGGTATATAGATTTGGGGAATTGGCTTTCTTTTTGTTGTTGTTGTTGAGACAGAGTCCCACCCTATTCCCTGAGCAGAGTGCAATGGCGTCATAGCTCACTGCAAACTCAAACTTGGGCTGTGGGCATCCTGCTGCCTCAGCCTCCAGAAGCTGCTGGGATTACAGGTGATTGCACGGTGCCCAGCTGGGTTTTTCATTTTTTAGGAGTCCGGGGTCTCCCTCTCATTCAGGCAAGTCTCAAACTCCTAAGCTCAAGCAATTCTCCCTCCTCAGCCTCCCATAGTTCTGGGATTACAGGCGTGAGTCACTACGTCCGGCAATCAGCTTTCTTTTATTCAGTACAATTCTCCAATAGGAGTGCACCTCAATAATGTTTCACAAAGTGCCAGAAATATTCTTAGAGGGAGAGACTTTGTTCTGGGCTCTAACCTGTTCATTCACTTCAATCAGCAAATGTGTGTCAGGTTTACACTGCTTGGTGGCTCTATGTTGGGTCTGGAGGAGAGAGATGATGTCCACTTAGCCTGCTCTCCTGAAGGAGCCCACAATCTAATGGGAAGGATGGACTTTTTCTAAATGATGTATTGTATAACAGAACTGCAATGGACAAATTAAGTAAGGTGCCAGTGAGACACAGGAGAGAGGTTTGCTTGGATGGGCCTGTGAATTCTACACTGAGAGGGAACATCTGGGACTGGAGCATTGAGGAACAGGCTAAAGATTTCCAGGTGGACAAGGCAGCAAGGGTCATCCTGAGGACAACTTTCCCTACGAGCCAGTTATCATGTAGCGTGTTCTGAGTCACACCACAGAGCTTGGACTTTATCCCCAAGACCTGGGGTGTCACTGGGAGGGTCCAGGAAAGGGAGTGTCATGATATTCGAGAAAAGTCTCTCTGAAGGCAGTGGAGAGCTAACAGGAGAGGGGCAAGAATGGGGGCCTGCATGCCCCATCAGCCCCGACTCCGTGACTGAAGTGTCAGTGCTCTGATACACCGTGAGCCTCCTGCTCAGTGACCGAAGTGTCGGTGCTCTGAGATACATCACGAGCCTGCAGCAGAGACTGCCTGGATGCGAACCAAGTTCATGGAGGATGAGAGTCCAAAGACAGAGGCCTTCAAGGACCTGATCATCGAAATACAAAGGAAGGTCCCTACCCCTGGAGTCTGGTCGTGGAGTCCCTCTGGGTGCTGGCAGCTCAGCTCACCGTCTCGGGTAGTCCGTTCTCCCTCTTCTTGGAGGACAGG